CTGCACTGGAGACTGCGGTACAATCAATACATGCTGTTTATTTTTTCCCTTGACTGACAGTTTCTTGCCTGCAGCCTTCTCCTGTTACGGCCCTAATGTATCTTCTGGCAGGTTTCCTTCTCTGAGTGATTTCTAAAGGAAGGAGCAATGAGGCTGAAGGAACAGCAGAGCTTTTCCGTTCTCTCACGTTCCCTTCCCGGCCCCTGAAGGTGCTGGAGTGGGGCCTCTGCCCATGCATGCGGGAAAACGGCAGAAGCGGGGTCCCAATCCCAGGCTGCTGCATGCTGGAAAGGAGGGGTTGGAGGTGCCTGTGGGGTACAGTGGTCGTGGTGCAGCTGCAAAATTCAGAGCTTGCTCAGCTGGGCCGTGCTGGATGGGTGGGAGTTGCCTGTCCAGCTTCTGGGACGGCGCCTGGGTGTATCGCGGAGAGCCTGCGCGTGCCCTGCTGCCTGGTGCTCCTGCAGCCCCACGGCTCCTCGCGCCGCTCTGGGCACCCAGCTGCGGGTGAGGCAGAGGGATGCACGCTGCCGCGGGAAGCTTCATCCATCTCCTTTGTCATTTTTGGAGGCTGCAGAGAGGAGCTGCGAAGTTGGGTTTGAGGACTAGCGCAGGGCTGTCAGACCTGGGCCCTCTGCTCCCCAGGCTGCAGGGCAAGGAGCAGGCACTGGGGCTCAAGGCTGAGGCAGAAGCAATAGGAGAGGAAACAGTTTGGAGACTTCTATGAGAAATGTTGCAAGGCCTAATCTCTGCTTGGGCCCTCGGTTTTATAAAGGGATAAAAATGCACAGTGACATCCCCAGTTTTCCCCAGGTCTGTTTGCAGACTAACATTTCATTGAACGCTTGGCCCGTTCCCGCTCAACCTGAGCGCACGGCTCAGTTGCAGATCAGAGGAGCTCGGAGGGGAGTGTGGGAGCTTTGCTGAAGCCCGGAGGGGTGCGATGGGTGATTTCCACCTGGTGAGTAAGCGGGGAGCGACGTGGGCTGCCGGGACGGCTCGTGTGCGCATGCAGCTCTTCACCCAGTACGCTCCCTGGGCAGATCAACAGCTGTTGGACTTACTGGGGAAGACGAATAAACAGACTCCACTGTCTGACACATCTCCCTTCCCCAGCAGTGACACGAGTGTGATGCTCACAATGCCCGGGGAAAAGTAGTCTGTAAAGTGGAAAAAGTGCCTCTGGAAAAAGAGTAGGTGGCCGAACTGGGGGAGCCCTGTGGTGTGGACAAAGCTGCGGTGGGGAGAGGCAGGTAGGAAATTGCTGGGCTCTTGGCGTGTGGTGGATGAGTAGGAAAAGGTGTGTATTGAGGAAGGAGATAGACGCTTTCCTTGAGCGTGGAGAGGCTCCTGGTGCTGCAGCGATGAAGCTGTACCCACAGTTATCGAGGCTGCTTGTTGGTGGGTGCACCCTGGTGTTGGGGCTAGGTTGCATGCAAGTGCCCCACGCTTGCCAGCCTGAGGCAACTGGAAGGACGCGTGTTGTACGGCACGGTCCTTGGAAACACACGGGGAAGGCGACGGAGCAAAGGGTGTCCATGTGTGGGAAGGAAGGCGCTTTGCTTCAGTGCCTGCAGAGAGCGATGCTCCCAGCTTGCCCAGGAGACTGGGGTTCCCTTCCTCATGCTGGGGATGGAAAGCTGGAGTGGCTGAGATTTCAATAAGAATTGTAGCAAGGGATGAAACACAAACTATATTTTGCCAGACTGGACCCCAACCAACTTTGTGAGGCCTTTGCTCTTCCTGGAGCTGTTGCTGCCCAGACTAATTTCAGTCTGAGTGAACAAACATTTTCATACATCCTGTTTCATGTTAGTAGACATAAAGACGACATTTTTATATCTTCAGTGCTCACTGGTCTCTCTGCATTAGAGATAGCAGAGCTATGCTATGATCTGATATGAGCCATTTGTAGTTGGGGCCAAATTCCTGGCTCTGGTCTAATGGGAGTGCATGTTGTCTTAGAAGAGGAGGGTCTGTCCCGGTGGGAACTGAGGCTCGTGATGTGGCAGCTGTGCATCTGGAGCCGATGGCTTTCCCTCTGCGTGTCTGCCCTGGACATCCAGGAGCGAAAGGAAACCTAAAGGGGGAAGCGCGAGGCAGAGGAGGACCGTGGAGGAGATGCAGCCACTGATGCTGGCCTGGCTTGCAGGCACCAGGGCAGCTGTGCCGGGGTCCGCACTGCGGCTGTGCCACCACCAAGCACAGTCTTGGACTGAGCTCTGGCCTCATCAGCTTGTGTTGGAGGCTGGCTCCGATGCTCGATGCTCGCAGCCAGCTCCGGTTGTCAGTCCTAGGGGATGGTGCCTTGGGGCAAGGAAGGGCTGACTCATGCTACAGTGCTGTCTGGAGCAAGAAGGCAAGGGGAAACTGGTCCCAGGAGCCGTGTGGTGTGCGCAGCCCCTTTGCAGCAGCCCCTGTGGTGTTTCGGGGCGATGGAGATACGTCTGCTCCTCGCACCATGAGCTTGCAGTGGCAGCGGGGCAGGAAGGGTCGGGTCCAGCGCTGGGGCCAATGTCAGTGCTGGGTGCCACCTCTGTCGGTGACCTTCAGCGAACCCCTTCTGGGGACGGGGACCTGCAGGGCGTCCGTCCGTCTAATGCCGACTTTGCCTTGCTGCGTGTCCCGCTCGGGCTGCGCGCGCCGGCAGCGGCAGCGCCGCGGTGTCCCC